TTTTTTAATAATAGATTTTTCTAAAGAATAAACCTTAAAATTAGTTTAATCTTTAATAAAATATATTAATATAGAGATAAATTTTTAATATAAAAAATTTGCCAGCGTTAATATAATAACTGTAATGATATGTAATCTTAAAATAGAGTATTTTTAATTTCTTCCCAGGTTCAAGTCTGTTATCTAAAAAGTGCGCAGCTAAACATTTGTTGCTAAATGTTAAAAAAAATTTTTTAAAGATATCTACTACAATTATCTCAGTTTTGAAAAAAAAAATTTTTTTTGATTAACCAGCTGTCTTCCTGTTTGTTCTCTCTTTCTATAAACATACGTGGTTTAAGGGAAGGGAACTACGAGAAGATAAAATTTTAATTCTTTTTATAAAAAAAAAAATGCCTCAATTATTACCTTTTTATTTTGTGAATATGTTATCTTATTCATTCTTATTATTTATCGTAATTTTATATGTTCTCTCAACATATCTATTGCCTAAATATCCTCTGTTATTTGCTATTAGAGTGAGTCTTTTATCAAATAACACCCCCCCCCAATCTAGTTTTTCTTTTGCCAGCAAAACTTTTATACTTATTTTATTTGGTATTTTTCTATTTATAGAAATAGAGGGATCAGAAGAGTTATTATATTTCTTTGTTCCCATGATGATTTATTCTAATGTGGATAGAGATAAATCAAAAATTTTATCTGAGAATAAAGGTAGAGCTGCTATTTATATGTGGACACATAAGGAAACAGGCAAAAGATATATTGGTTCAGCAGTTGATTTATATACTCGATTAAGTAATTATTATTCTACTCCAATATTAAAGAAAAATGATAATTATATTTCTAGAGCTCTTCTTTATCATGGATATTCTGAATTTACTTTATCGATTCTTGAATTTATTAATATTTCAAATCTTTCTAAGAAAGAAGCTCAAAAACTGATTCTTGTACGAGAACAGTTTTATCTTGATCTAATCTTTAAGGAGGATGAACCTAATACATATAATATATTGCAGGTAGCTGGTTCTTTGTTAGGTTATAAACATACTAAAGAATCTTTAGTCTTAATTGGAGAAGCTCATAAAGGTAAAATTGTTTCGGTTGAAACTAAAATTTTAATTAGTGAAGGCCGAAATGGTAAAACCCATTCTCCTGATACGTTAGAGAAAATGAGTGAAGCTAAATCTGGAGAGAATAATCCTATGTTTGGTAAAACTGGTGAAAATCATCCTAGAAGTAAAAAACCCGGGACCGCATTTAAAAGTAGTAGTAGAAAATTCATTTTTTTAAATTTTAACGGGCCCGGGGGCCCTGGCGGTTTTTGTTTATTCAAATACTACACCCACTATTTGTTCTTATGAGTTTGGATCATATTTAGAAGCTGCCAAATTTTTTGATTGTAGCAGTATGACTATAATAAGATATGTCAAAAGTGGGGAGATGTTCCAAGATAAGTGGATATTAACTTCATCCCTTAAGGATTAGCGAATATTTATTAGTAATAAAGGTAGGGTTATAATATACCTTTAATAATCGTAATTGTGTTAATGTCTTTAGTGAATAACCCCCCCCCCACAAGCTCTTTTAATAATTCTACCCTGTATTTTATTATTTATAGTAAATGGTACTATCAGGGGATTATTACAATCAATCCTGTTATCTACTGCAGTAACAGCAAACAATTAAAATTAATATCGTTCTAGTCTATATATAAAATAATTTATACCTACATAGCAAAATGTAACTTAATTAAGTAAAGTAGATAAGCTTTTTATTTTATCAGAGTTATTAAATGTATATCTTTATATATTTATTAAATAAATCTTATAATAATAAGCATTAGACCCGGGGATTAAAATACAATAAACTATTAAAGCATATTAATCGATTAAACTGTCTAAATATTAAAGTTTATTTATTAATATTAATTATACTTATTAAGTGAATCATACCAATAATAACACATAAGACCTTATATCACAATTCTGTGCATAGGATAATAATTTTTCACAAAACCATTATTAAAGAGTGAACAGACTCCGAAAATATAAAGAAGCTTTATGTGAAAATATTTATTCCTAAATTGTGAAGCCAATATACTGGAAGTAAAAAGCAAAAATAATTATAGAAGGCTAGGATTAATAAATTTTAGTTATTGATTAATAATCAATTCACCAATACCTTAAGGATAAAAATATAAACAACCAACAATGACCCTTTTCTACTGGCTATAAGATATAATAACGTAGATACTTATAAATTACAAATCTTAAAAAATAATAAAGGCAAAGCAGGTCTGTATCTATTTACACATAAATTAGGTTAAAAGATGTTGGTACTAGTAGAAATTTGTCTAGATGGTTGAAAGATTATTATTCAACTACTAAATTAAAACAAGACAATAATTATATTTGTAAGACTTAAAATTTTCATGGCCATTTTTCATTTTCTCTAACAATTTTAGAGTATTTAATATTTCTCATTTATATTAAGAAGGAGCACATTAATTTATTCTTTAACGAGATAAACATTTTATTGATTTACTTTTGCCTGAATATAATATTTTGAAAGTAGTAGGGAGTCTATTAGGACATAAACATCCTGATGTAGCATTTACAAAAATTAGTGAAGGGTTGACAGGTGAGAGGAATTTCAATTTTGGAAAATCTTTTTTGCTGAAACTAAAGCAAAATTAATAGAAGCCTGTTGAAATAAAACTAATAGAAGCCTGTTGAAGTAAAACTTATAAAAACCTGTAGAAGTAAAACTCGTCTTAAAAGGGACTAAAGCAAAATTGAGTCTTGCTTTATCTGCTGAAAATTACCCTATATAAGGTAAGACACATTTGACTGAAACTAAAGCAAAAAATTAGTAAAGCAAAAAAAAACTATTTTTTTCTGCTGAAACTTATGCAAAATCAGTGAAGCTAAAAGAAGGGCCCCCCCCCCCCCCCCACCCTTTTGCTAATACTAAAGCTAAAATGAATCTAGAAAAAGTGAAATAACCAATTTTTTTTTTTTGTCAAACCCCTTTATACTACCACTCTAGCTAAAATGAGTGAAGCAAAAAGAGCATAGAATAATCCTAGGGATAAAAGAATATTTGTTTATAATAGTTTAACTCCAATTATTTTTGAACATGAATTTGTCTTTTGTTCAGAAGCAGCAAAAATATTTTACTTGTAGCATTAAGACTATCTCTAATTATCTCAAAAATGGAAAATTATTTCAAAACAGGAGATCTTTATCTAAGAAATAATTATTTTACCGTTGACCCACCCATTATCCTGCTATTGATTGTCAAATATTGATATTAGATCGTATTTTATTGAGATTAGATCGTATCTTATTGAGATTAGATCGTATCTTATTCCTTTTTAAAAACCCCTGTTTTAATAAGGCTCTTATCTATTTTATTTTATTAATTTCTTAGTTATCTTACTTAATGTAAATATTGCTAGAAATCATATGTTTTTATTTTTAAAAACTTAAATCTTAATCAAAAACACCCCCTCCCCTTTTGGTGGCTCTATAATACGTTGGGCCTCCCCCCCCCCCCTGAGGTTTTTAGATTAAGTGTTTTTGGAGTATATAGATATTAGTAATTAATCAAAAGAGAAAGTACGTAAATTAATTTTAAAACGGGGACAATCTTATTTAGATTTATTAGAACCTGAAGATTATATAATAAAAGTAGCAGATAATCTATTAGGTTATAAAGACTCTGAAGACTCATTAGTAAAAATGAGTCTTATTTATTTAGGTGAAAAAATCTACGAGGGATATAAGGTGGTTTTCATTCTGCTGTAACTTTAATGAAAAGAGGTATTGCTAAATTAGGAAGCTATAATCTTACCAGTAAAATAGTATTTGTGTATTATAGTAATACCCTTCAATTATAGAGCATGAATTTATATTTTATACAAAAGCTGCAAAGTATTTTTCTTGTAGCCTAATAACAAATTCAAGATATATTGACACTGGCAGATAATCCCAAAAAGAGTAGCTTTTATACCCTAAGAATAAACAACTTAAATAAAAAGGGGGGGGGGTGTTCATATACTATTATCAATAATAATTAGTTTAGAAAAGAAAATACATTTCTAAATACCCCTCCCCTCGTTAATCCTTACACTAATCTTCATAACATATATTATTATATCAGGATATGTGTTATATCCACTTAATTAACAAAATGTTAAGCAGAAAAAATTAAAATATACAATAGAGGGGAATTGTCTATGGCGGACAACTTGACTGTAAATTAAGCAACCGAAAGGTTATAGGGAGTTCGATTCTCTCTCTTCTCAATTAATTTTCTTTATTTTTATTATTGCCCACAGAAAAATATAACTTTTTGTATGGTCTAATGGGGGGGGGTTAGTAATTTTAAGAAATTAGGGGGTGTTCACCCAAATAAGATATTTTTAGGTAATTTGTTTTTTAAACATATGAGATGTAAGAGTGGGGAGGGTAGGGGGGGGGGAGGGATCATTCAAGTGTAGCCTCTAGTTTCTAAGAGTATAGCAAAAATAGAAGGATCTAAAGAAAATAAAGTAAAAAGTATATTCATTTACTATTGAGACAAAAAATTTGAAATTTTAGTAATTTGATATAAATCCTTTTATAGTTGTTTTAAATGCTGCTAAAGTATATTATTGCAGTACAGCCCAATATTTTGTTATCGGGAGATAGGTAAATAATTACAGAAATAAAGGTGGGTTAATATAAAAATCTTTAATTTAAGAATTTTAAGATATTTTATATTTTATTGTGCTTTATTAGATATTTTAAAATATTCTAAAAAGAGGTTCCCACACTTAACAATATTTAAATTTAAAATAAGTCTAAACTATTTATTATAAATCGATGAAGAGTGAAAAGAAGATCTGTGTTAATTTTATCTTTTTCAAATATAATAAGTAGACAAATATATTTTTTTTTTGACTTCAACCGGAATTTTACCGGTAATTAAACTGTGAAGGGTCTTTAACCATTTGACTACAATCGGAATTGAACCGATATTTCAACTGTGAAGGAGTTGCATCTTAACCATTTGATCATGTAGCCTTAAAATATTTATTATAAATTTAGCAAAAAAAAGGGTATTAAAAATTTTTAGATAAAAAATTTAACTAATTTATAAGATACAATAATGGGAATTACCCTATCAAATATTGAATCTCTTATTTTTAAAATGAAGACCCATTTTTCTTTAAATAGTTAACTTCTTTTTATATATCTTCGTAAAAGGGGAGGGGGGTATAGGCTTTAAATAAATTAATAATTGTTTCTTTCCCTAGTTTTTTAATCTAATTTTCTGCTCTAATAGGTCCCCTGAATAAATAGAAAATTGTTTTGATTAAAGGGTCATTAGAATTTTTTATAATAATAATGGTTTAATAACTTTAATATATATATATATATAAGTTATAACTTAAAATATCTACTTAATTTAAGTCGTTTATTTGTTACTATCTGAAGAGTCCTTGCTAAGGTTTGCCGATAAATCTGAAGAAAAGGATAAAATCCATTTACTTTTAAATAATTTCTTATTTTTGACATAACTCATTATAGTAAGATATGGACAATAAAAATGTTCAGCGGCTTTTCTAGCAGAACTAAAACTATAAACTAGTAAGCCTTTAGTATCATAAACATAAATAGTTCCTCCACCATTAGCTATTACTTTGTTTTAATACCGTTTTAGCAGAATGATTCTTACCAAACATTGTATTATTCTGACCATCATATTTTTCTTTTTCATTACACTCATTAAAAGTCTAGTATCAATAGAATGAGATTTCCCAAACATATGGTTATTCTGACCGCTTATTTTAGCAATTGTTTCTGAGGTTAACTGTGCCCCTAAACGAGAGCCAGCTGTAGGATTAATACTATATGTATTTAGTTTAGTTTAGTTTAGTTTAGTTTAGTTTAGTTTAGTTTAGTTTAGT